TTGACTTGTTGAATTTCGTTGTTCATTATTGGACTAGTCCATTTATGTAGTAAACAAACCGCAGGATCGGGAAACAAATTAGAAAAAAATCATTTCTCTAGTGTTGCATGTCCATATTGATATATGCGATATATATACGATATGTTACTTAAAAGAATGAGATAAAATTTGTAGATAGAATTTCTGAAGTATTAGAAGGAGGTTAAAAGGACAAACTTTATTTTATTCCATAGATGTTAGCACACCCATTCACACAATAGTCTAAACAGTGTGACATTTAACTCCGGACACGACATAGTCCGGACTTTTTACTACCATTTCTAATTGTCATGTCCATCAAAATTTTATAACACCTGGTGGGATTTCTTAGCAGTATCACATATTCTCATGTTGAACTCATAGACATCTCTACTTTAAAAGATATGAAGTCCAAAGTATCAGAATCCCATGGGAGAATGATGGGATTTTCAGTCCCACCAGTTATCCCACCATTCTCCCATGGGAGAAAAAATGTCAGATGGGAGAAAAAATCTCAGATGGGATTTTTTCTCCCACAAAATTGTTCAAATGGGATAAATCCCACGGATACCTACAAATGGGATATTTTCTCCCATGAATTCAAATATGGGATAAATCCCATAGAACATGATATGTGGGACATTTACTCCCATAAACATTCAGATGTGGGATAAATCCCATAAGGCATAACCAAAACCAAGTTAGCATTCTAAATGTTATCAAATTATAGATGAATGTATGAAGAATTAGAGACCCAAGGGTCTTGAATCACCTGATAAGCCATAAAATTTCAAAAAGTAGGCCATGTTGACCTTCTATTCAGTTGACGTTCTCCGGGGACCCAAGTTTCAAAAAATTACAATGTTTTATGATTCTACACTTATCCTCAAACTTTGTCAGTTGATGCATCTAGGGTTTTCGGAGAATGTCGACCAAAAAATAGGTCACGGTGACCTACTTTTGACATAATATTAAGCATATTAACTTAGAATCATCAAACTTTGTCAGTTGATGCAACTTAGGTTTTCCGAGAATGTCGACCAAAAACTAGGTCACAGTGACCTACTTATGAATATCTCAGGTACTTATTGGCTTAGAATTATCAAACTTTGTCAGTTGATGCATCTTGGGTTTTCAAAGAATATCGTTCAAAAACTAGGTCATGGTGACCTACTTCTGACATTTTATGGCTACAATTAAGTATCTTGGATACTTACTTGTCTAGAATTGTTAAACTTTGTCAGTTGATGCATTTTGGGTTTTCGAAGAATGTTGACTTAAAAGTAGGTCACAGTGACCTACTTTTTACACTATCAGGTACTTATTGGCTTAGAATCATCAAAACTTTGTCAGTTAATGCATCATGGGTTTTCAGTGAATGTCGGCCAAAAACTAGGTCAGAGTGACCTAATTATGACATTTTATGGCTATATTTAAGTATCTCAGGTTCTTTTTTGCTTAGAATCTCCAAACTTTGTCAGTTGACGCATCTTGGGTTTTCAGAGAATGCTTTTTAAAATCTAGGTCATAGTGACATACTTGTGACATTTTATGGCTATATTTAAGTATCTTGGGTACTCTTTGGTTTAGAATCTTCAAACTTTGTCAGTTGATGCATCTTGGGTTTTCGGATAATGTCGACCAAAAAGTAGGTCATGATGACCTACTTTTGAATATCTCAGGTACTTATTGGCTTAGAATTATCAAACTTTGGCCATGATGACCTACTTTTAACATTTTATGGCTATATTTAAGTATCTCGGGTACTTTTTGGCTTAGAATCTTCAATCTCTGTCAGTTGATGCATCTTGGGTCATAGGATACTTAGTGTTAGAGGCTTCAAATAGAAGTGATAGATTGTACAATTTATCAGAAGCGATTCAAGGCCCTTGGGTCTCTTATATTATTTTTTAAACTAATAAGCAATGTTTGAATGAGATGATTGTTAATGAATTTCAAAAAAAGTATTTACTTCAGATAATATGCATATGAATATCGATTACTTAAAAATATTTGAATGCAACATTGATCAGTTACATATAGGATTTATCCCATATTTGAATATCTATGGGAGTAAATGTCCCACATATCATGTTCTATGGGATTTATCCCATATTTGACAATTCATGGGAGAAAAAATCCCATTTGTCAATATCCGTGGGATTTATCCCATTTGAACAATTTTGTGGGAGAAAAAATCCTAATGGGAGAAAAAATCCCATCTGAGATTTTTTCTCCCATCTGACATTTTTTCTCCCATGGGAGAATGGTGGGATAGTTGGTGAGACTGAAAATCCCACCATTCTCCCATGGGATTCTGACATTTAGGACTTCATATCTTTTAAAGTAGAGATGTCTATGAGTTCAACAAGAGAATATGTGATACTGCTAAGAAATCCCACCAGGTACTGTAAATTTTTTTGGATATGACAATTAGAAATGGTACTAAAAAGTCCGGACTATGTCATGTCCGGAGTTAAATGTCGCACTGTTTAGAACAATCCAAGGCAGCTTACTGTGACTTTTGGCGCGAAAAGAGCGATTCACCCCTTTCGTAGAATACAAATGGACTGATCCAGTATTATAGAAATGCAGAAAAAAGGATACACGGACATTTTGAAACGGTGAATGACATGAAATAATTGTTCCATGCAAAAAGTTTAAATGAAGTAAACACTACAGTATTTTGTATCAGTAATATCATTGTTTTTTCTGAAAACTGTTTCTTATAAAATGCAGGTAAAGAATTCCAATGTAAATCAGCTTGCACAAAATCGAGCTCTCGAGGTATGATCTATTAGTTTCGGATCTTGCAAATATCAATCCTTATACAACCTGACGCCGTGACGTCAGGCAATAATAGAATATTTACATTTCGAATGTATTTGTCCGAGATAGAATTACAAATAGAAAAAAAAAATACTTATTTCTACATTAATCTACTGGTTCATCGATAGGAGCGGTTAAACGTTAATTTGTGGAATCAAGAGCATGTATACAAAAATAAGGAATAACTTTCAGAATTTTTGGTGTCATGACGATGATCATTCGATTGGCTTGCGTGATAAGGACAAGGTATGGTAACGGCCGAATCTGGCCCCTTGTTTGAGGTAAAATTCAAAACAAAGTTAAACTTGTGATAGTTCGTAGTTGAGAAATTAAATTGAAGCTTGTTTCAAAATCAGCATTAAGTTTAATTCAAAGCTTACACAGAAGCCACAAGATGTCGCGGAAGTAGGCCATTTGGCCGAGAATTTCCTCAATTTTAGTTTAATTCGTCAACTTTGAGATAATCTTCACTTTGGGAAACATAGAACACAGACTTGCTTATCTGAGAATTTTATACAAAAGATGCTCCTGATACTGTGTATGAAATATATTAATTTGGTAGATAGGCAAGCTTGAGTCTATGTTTTCTGAAACAAAATGTACCAGAAAATCAATAGAAATTTGCATAAAATTGAGAAAACTCGGAAATTCACATATTTTCTGATTTTCTTGTTACCTCTATAATATCCCATAACTTAGAACCAATACGCATTTTGTGGCAGGAATAATAAGCGGTTTTTAATTGATAAACTGTTTCATCAACTAATTAATATTGTTTTGCTAACCTTTAAGTCTTTTTTAAAAAGTAGGAACAATCCTTTTAAAAAATATTTTTCCTCAACCTTTTAAAACGGTTTTTAAATACACATCCCATACTTTTTATCAACTAATTCTAAAAAAAAAGTTTTTCTGTTTCCTTTTCGGCACATTATCTGACTGAAATCTTTGACGAAATTTATATTTATCAAAAGTGATGCCAATAGAATCTAAGTTTTATTTACTAGTATATCAAATCAAAGGTAACACACATAGTTGTACAAAATTCTTTGGTGTCAGACAATTTATTTACATATACGAGGGGTTATCAAAAAGTTCGTGGACTAGCGCCATAAAATTAAAACCGCTTTAGGCACATCAACGAATTTTAAAATATCAAGTTTGCATCACCTTTTCTATCTTAAGTATAAACCATAGATCATAAATTTTATTTTCTAATAAATTAGTAATGTATTTATAAGCAATGGTATGTCCAGACGGCGCAACCTCGAAAACGACGTTTTTGCGACCTGTGTGCTAATGAGAAAAACTCTTTCGATATGATCATTTGACATCCAAAAATCCCGTTAATTCAGATATGTGTTGGGACACAATTGTTCCATAAAATTTGAAATTTTCACTTAATTCTGAAAGCTCTGTGAAATTTTATCGTAAATTTTACACGGAACGTCCAAAAAATTAGGCCTTGAAAATGACCTCAAAAGGGGGGAGGGGTTTCCGTTTCCAATATTCTATAAAGTTTTGCCCCTGAAAAAAACTGGTATAGACCTAAAATATATTTAAACTGGCTACAGAGTAATAATATCCATCCAGGGTTCTTGTCTTTTAATGTCAAAATAGATTTAGGGAGAAAAGGGATGCACGGTTTATGTCGATTTGCAGTCAAGATGTGAAAAATCAATTACGTCAAAAAATGACGTTGATCATGTGTTGTACAAACTGAACTCCCAAAAGTATAATATGCCGACACAATCAAGCGAGGATCTCTCCCAATGTGTTAATCTCTTTGGAATATTATATTCATTGAAGGCCACTGTTCATGGCATTGTAAAGTCATATAAACAATGCGGGTTTAAGTCCTTACTCAGCTCCAGGGAATCTCATCAAAAAAAGTGTATGAGGTAGAAGTTGACATTTAAAAAAAATAATGACGTTATTGGACGTCATGAAAATAAACGACGACAGCGCCGGGTGATCATATAATGTCGTTTTAATTTTATAATAATTCGGCAAATAATGAACGTATCAGGCTAAATTTTTCAACATTTCTTTATTTTTTGTTGTTTTATGTTTCATATAAATTTTGAAAGCACAGACTACATAGAACTAATTTTATAGCCTCAGTCCACGAACTTTTTGATAACCCCTCGTACAGTTATCTGCATAACTGGATGTCTAAATGATAGTACAAGTAATACAATTATTTGGTTTTGTTTGCAAAAATAATGCAAGACATGTTTACAAAGTAATTTTGAAAGAGCAAAGACATTGGGACCTTGATGAAAATGATCATATGGGGGAAAAATCTTGAAAAAACAGACATACTATCAAAAACCTAGGAAACTTGTATTTTTCAAATCCATGATCTGTTCCCCTTTCGACGATCTAAATGAAAATGTAAATCAGTAATGACACAGCCATCAAGAAATGAGGAAAGACTTTAGATCCACCACTTGTATTTGTTCTCATCTGATTTAACAAGTCTTCTCGGAGCTTCCCAAGGCCATCTAACATATCTTCTCTCAGCTTCTTAAGGTCATTAAACTTAGGATCCTCTTTAACCATCTCAAGGTCACAGGAGTCCAATTTCGAGTAAAAAGTGAGCGAATTAATATCCAGAGACTGTGAGACATACCATCGCATTACATCTCCCATGTCGCCTTGCATGCACGGATGACTTTTGAACTCTTTAACCGCTTCCTTGCATTCTTCTAGACATTTCGATAATGGTCTGCATCTCTGACTTACCTTTGCGTACAATTCCGCCATAACCGGATGTGTGTAGTTTGAGAAAACGGATAAATCGCAGCCATTAATGGTCTGCTGGGAATACAGTTTAAGCAAAGATACACTTTTGAAACTTGTGCAGGATGTTCTTTTTATGCTTGTTATGGGGTGTACGGTAAGAAAACCGTAGCACATCTCATCGGAAGTGGCGTCCCCTTGGAATGTTGTGAAGGACTTCGATGATGATTTAAAGACGCATTTTGTTCTGAGTTCATCCCCTGGCAATACTTCTATCGCAGAGTCATACCTATTAAAAATTCATACAAATCAGTGAAAAATATTGAACATTTAATACACGTCTTTGTTTAAAAATTTGCAAAAAATGCAATTCATTCCTGGTACTAGTAAATGAACTTACTCTACAAGCAAGAAAAAGGATTAACTCAGAAGCAGGCCACAAAAAGTCTCTAGTATATATGCAATAGTTCTTTCATTAATCAAAACTTTTAAATTTACTTTTTGCTTAGTAAATTGAAGGGAAAATGGAGAACGAGGCTTTAAATAGTAAAATCCTCTATCATCCTTGTCCTTTCAGTAAGGCGAAATATGGCTGAAAAATTGCTGATATTGTTAAACAATATAAAATCAAATCAGTAAGGCGTGGCATTCTCGACGCTAAGTAATTAGCGTCTCTCAAATGGTGATATAGATTCTTACGGGTTCAGAAATTAGTAACATCAGTGACTTTAAAGTGCTGTTGACAACAATAAGACGACGTACAAAACGCTATCATTGGATCTTTGCTACAATCGTTGACATTCGCCCAAATTTCTATCCCATGTATGTTTGAAAGGATGTGGAAAATTCAAACGCTTATTTTTTTACTGTCGAGAATGCCATGCTGTACTGAAAGTCCAACAATAACAGAGAATAGTGCCATATATAAATCTAAAAAAATAAACTTACTCTAAAAATCGGGGTCGATCATAACTGTAGTCGGGTTCGTTCGTCAGAGTGTTTATCTTGACGCCATATCTGTACTGGTCAATGTATTCTTCCCGTCCTGCAATTCAAGGATTCGAAAATAATAATTATATGCATTCAGTGGGAAAAGTAGGCGTAGATGAATTTTATAAAAAGAGTCCAAAATTTACTCGTATACAGTTTTGCATGATATACAGTGTAGTAGTCAGGAGACGGAAGAAAATTTGGGATATTTGATGATTTTCGAAATATCAAATATAAATTTTAATTACATAAATTACATTTTACTTTTTGTGATTGTTATGAACTGCAACTGCAAGTATATCAAAATTGAATATTATTTAAATATAAGGGCAAACTTCCTGCGACATTTGAAGATCTGACTTTCAATTATGTGTTTTAATAAATATCTCTTAGAAAATTTATATATTTTTCCCTTCTTTTGTACAAAAATACGGATATTTCATTGGAATCAATTTATAAAACATTTTCTATGAACACAGATGTTGTGTTTAAGAGGAGAACCCTATGATTAAGATCAAATAAATCAACATACCGTATAGCGGGTTATTTTAGCGGGGTGCTTATTTTGGCTTAGTTTGGCGTTTTGATGGTAGTCCGCTAAAATTTTAATCGCTAAAATATTAACTACTAGTTTGAGTGTTTATCTGCAAAGAGCTAAAACCCTGTGTCCGCTAAAATAAATTACGCTTAAATTATTGGCATACCTTTGAGCAGGCAAAACGCCAAATTTTACATCCGCCAAGAAAACACGCTAAACGGTATCTGAAATTTTCCTTTAACAAAAGGCCCTTAATTGGATTTTAGTAGGACATGACTGCAACCTCTTCATCAATTGGCAATGCTTTTTATAATTTATCTTGTGAAACTAGTACACACACATAAAACTTCACTTTGCGCATGCCTATCAAAATACGTACCTAAATAGTGCATGTGATTAAGGGCCCTAGTAATGTAAACAGGGCCAGTTAGAGACATCCGGGTGTCGTCTGCTGAACACACACCTTCCACCTCCACGCGCTCCTTCCCGGGTGGAATTTCCAGATACTGTTGCCCTACCATCATAATGGCGGCGTCGTTGGGTCGTCTGTTAGGTGTGTAGTACAATGTCATACCGGAACTGTCCATGTAGTCTGATCGTAGTTCGGGATTATTCCAGTGAAACTATAAAAATATTTGAAAACCATTTTATTCGAATGAAATAGCAACCCAGTTTATACTGTATAACCGGGTTGGGACAGTTTACGCTTTATAAATGGCGAAGCGGTTTATAAAAAGTGTAAACTGCTCCAACCCAGGTTATATCAGTATAACTTGGGTTGCTATTTAATTCATTCCTTATGATTTAATTTTCAATCATTAAGTATGAAAAACAAGACAATTTCTCCCTTTCTAACCGAATTCAAATTTTACATATTTTAAATGTGACGTCAGGCGGATTGATACTTTTTTGACATAAGTCTTTGTGATTGTAGGCAACAAGATTATACAATATAGACTAATATCTTATTCAATCAAATGACGGGTTACAACCAAAATTAAATCTAAACTTATTGTAATTTGGTTAAATTGGTATTAAAGGATGCTTACATTACTCGTTCGCGGTTTTACCGTTAGTTTTAAAGACTTGAGAAGTTGCTATTGTTGGTATATATACTTGTCTTATTTTTCACTACGCTTATAGAGACACGTTTGAATGCAACTGATAATTTTTTTTAAAGAACGTATTTGTTGAGGTATGGATTTTACCTGCATCATAGCAAATTTAAATCCGTTTTGTCCGATTCGGAATCCGACATCTTTGTGGGCACATTCTCCGTTGGCTCCCACGGCCCAAGCCCCGATAATTGTCCGGCATTTGTCAGAGCCCATTCCGCATTTAGCAGGGGCAGCTGTCCCTTGGGTAACTTTAGAAAAGAAAAGAATTAACTTTGCAATAAAAATGAGATTATGAGAAAATTAATGGCGTGACAAGTTTTATGTATGGAAAACATGATTCAACATGGCCATAGAGATAAAACCGGACAGTTCTTCCCAGAAAGATCTGAAAAGTGTACCATAGGACAAATTGATATAAAGCCACATTTCAGGAAGCTTTAAATCTTTTAGTTTACTGAATGGCATAGTTTTATCCTGTTAGTGTCAAATCCGTACCTAATGGGTGAGAAGCTGAACATCCGACAATAAGCTTATCAATCTACATTTATAGTATAATGAACAAATCTTGATTTTAAACTTGTGTCTTGCACATTATGGTTTTCAAGAAAAAAAAATTATATTTGTGTTTACAGACTTTCAACTGACTGTTCTATGTTAGTTGAACAATTCGATATGTTTTCAAAGAGATGAAGGATATGGAGATAACGAACAGTATTCAATATCAAAGTCCATAAAACCATACAAAACAGGAGCAGAGCAAACACGGAACTCCAAAACATTATAAATGGGATCAAGTGCCATGGAGAAGTGAGCAACTCCTGCCGACCGTTCACACCTGCCGTGTGCTCCTTGACATGCTCGGGAAATAACAGAAAAATCCGTCGTCAATTCAGTGTATAAATAATGGACTAACAATCAGTATGAAAAACGTCAGTCAGCATTTGACTCAATGATTAATTGTATTTGCTGACAAGGTCATTGTATCGACCACAGAACTTACGAAATGATGACTTTAAACAAGTCTTTTTTCATCAACTTGTTTGTCAATAATTTTTCTCGTTTATGAAATTGTTCATACGTAGAGCGTGCTCTTGCGTGTCGAATCAACTGAGAAATAAAAACTCCGTATGCAGGTGATGAAGGTGTATTGCTGCATAAGTAAGTGAAGTTGACGATGGAAAAGTTAAAGTCATCAGGTTCATCCTAGAGCCTGGTTGTAAGATTTCCATTAAACTCTTTATCAAGTAAAATATCCAAATATGAAACAGATGTGTCAGACTCTGTGGTATCTTTTATCCAAAGGTCACCAGGATATACCGTATCGACATAGGAATGGAATTAACCATTGTTAATTGACAACACGTCGTTGATATCTTAATGTCGAGTTGTAGGCCACAGCAAGAGTTTTCTTCTTTTCATGGATAAGATTTTGCACATATGAATACAAAAATAGGTCAGATAATAACGGCGCATAGAGATCTAATGTGGATTACCTAATATTTGCATTGTGTCAGGAGACATTGTACACCTTTACAACATCTTTTCAACTCACCTGAATCTAATGTGGATTACCTAATATTTGCATTGTGTCAGGAGACATTGTACACCTTTACAACATCTTTTCAACTCACCTGAATCTTCACATCCAAATAAAAGTATATGATGCATGACGTATTCGTTGTCTATATATGGTTTTGTTGCAATCATGTGATAGTCGCCATCTTTAGGAAGTTCAAAGGTCATGCAATAGTAGTTGGTTTCTGTATTTGGAACTTGAGTTGGAGGATATCTTATGGTGATGTTCTTTACTTCTACAAGAAAAAAGTTTTCAACCATACGTACTGAGCATTAATACATAGCTAAATACCATTTTAAAATATTTTTTTGCTTCAAGAAAGTCATATAAGGGATAAATCAAAAGTCGTGAATATTTCTATTTTCTGTTTCTTAAAGCAATATGAGCTGCAACTTTAGTGTCGGAAGTTTTTGTTGCAAAAATTGTAAACAAATATTTTAATGACAATGATATATGCAAAGGAAGAACAATTTATAAGCTTCGATTGATCCAAAATTACATTATTGTCGTCCTGTACAATAATGATTTCTTATATAAAACTGTATATTGGATTGTGTATAAAAGTCTTTCTTCTGCTTTATTTTAGTTTAAATAATCATTAAGGTTTAAGTTACTTATAAATTTATCATAATAACACATTTTAACAGCAAAGTAACATTTTCAAAAATGCAGCTGATATTGCTTTAAATGTTTTCTCACATACGAAACTGATGATACAATTTACAAATGTAGCTGGATCCCAATCAAGATTTCCACCTTGTTTCTTCCTACCTGCTGGTTGTCTCTGATACAATTTTTCCACGTCTTACAAATTAAGTCACATTTTTCAAAAATAACATTAATACATGTGTATAATTAGTAAATTATTAACTAAAAAATAAAATTGATTTGTTAACCTGGCTGGTTGATGGCATCACATCGGAAAGTTTCTAAATCACATTGTACCCAAGTGTTCTTAGATCGGCAACGAGGGCTGTCATACGGCTCGCATACACCTGAAAGAATGAGAAACATTATCGATGAAATATATGAAGATGAGGAACAGTATTGAAGCTCAAAAGTCATTAAAACGGTATAAATGTACATGTAATAGGAGTGGAGCAAACATGTACCTCCAAACATCAGGTGTGTTTTTTTTTTTTTTACTATCCTCTCCAAGTATATTAAGAAATTAAATTCAATTTCAAGAAAAGATAAAAAAAAATAATAATAACTAGATACGATCTCGTTGCGAGCAACGAGTGGGTCTTCCGTCTGATTCTTGATAAGATGAGATAAGATTTTGATTGAGAATTTTATTCTAAAATAATGATAACGATTGTGAAGAAGAACGATTTTGCCTCCATAATCTGTAAACAAACATGGAACATAAAGACTCAAAAATTCAACTTTTGGCCCCTCACGGCCCCTAATGTTAGGGATCAGCCGTTTTTTCTTCGTATCTTCTTAAACCTCTCAGGATTTTGAACACTTTTTGTTCAACAACTATTCAGAGATTCTCTTTCGTTTTCGAGTTATTTGAAATAGAAATATTTAGGGGCCAATTAACCCTTCAACTCCTTAATGGGGACATTTAGCGAGAAATGAAAGGTTGCATATTATTCAGAACATTATTTTGAACATCTTTTGTTCAATACTACTTATCAAAATATTTCCCAATTTTGAGATATAAAGCGTCAAAGATTGAGCATTTTGGCCCCTTGTGGCCCCTTATTATGCACCATACGACAATCAAATCATAATATATAGTTGTGGATTGTTGAGATAAACATCATTGCTTCAGTAATGTTTAACAAAATATTGACTGCTAAAGAGTTATCGATTAAAGACTTTTGGCCCCTTTTGGCCCTTAATTTGAGTTCCCAGTCCCTTTTTCTTGATCTGATTTTAAAGCTCTTTGGATTTTGAACACTTTTTGTTCAACAACTATTCAGAGATTCTTTTTCGTTTTCAAGTTATTTACAAAAGAAATATTAAGGGGCCAACCCTTCAACTCCTTAAAGGGGACGTTTAGCGAAAAACTAAAGGTTGCATATTGTTCAGAAAATTATTTTGAACATCTTTTGTTCAATATTACTTATCAAAGTATTTTCCACTTTTAAGATATAAAGCGTCAAAGATTTTGCATTCTGGCCCCTTATGGCCCCTTATTATGCACCATACGACATTCAAATCATAATATATAGTTGTAGATTGTTGAGATAAACATTCTTGCTTCAGTAATGTTTAACAAACTATTGACTGCTAAAGAGTTTTCGATTAAAGACTTTTGGCCCCTTTCGGCCCTTAATTTGAGTGCTAAGCCCCTTTTTCTTGATCTCATCTTGAAGCTCTCAGCATTTTGAACCCTTTTTGTTCAACAACTATTCAGAGATTCTCTTTCGTTTTGGAGTTATTTGCAAAAGAAATATTTAGGGGCCAACCCTTCAACTCCTTAAAGGGGACTTATAGCGAAAAACAAAGGTTGCATATTGTTCAGAACATTATTTTGAACATCTTTTGTTCAATATTACTTATCAAAATATTTCCTTCTTTTGAGATATAAAGCGTCAAAAATTTAGAATAATGGCCCCTTATGGCCCCTTATTATGCACCATACTACACTCAGATTGTAATATATAGTTGTAGATTGTTGAGATAAACATTTTTGCTTCAGTAATTAATAACAAAATATTGACTGTTAAAGAGTTATCGAATAAATACTTTTGGCCCCTCTCGGCCCCTAATGTGATGAGTCAGCACATTTTTCTTGATATCATATTAAAGATCTTGTCATTTTGCACAAATATTGCTCAGTATCTTTTAACAAAATAATTATATTTTAAAAGATATGATGCAAAATGTCTCAAAAATTCAGTCATGATACGTGTCCTAGATTTTGACCCCTACCGAGCTTCCATACTAGGCATTTCCGGAAAATTTTAAAACCATTGTGCATCTTGACAACATGTCCTTTATCTTTGGTAAAAATTTCAGTGTTCTAGCGTTAGCCGTTCTTGAGTTCTGGTGATGACAAGGAGGTCCCCTAAATTTTGATTAAAAGGCAATAACTTCCGACCGGAAGTGATTTTCGTAAAAATGAGAAAAATGGATCAGGTTTAGTTGACGACACACCTCTCCTGAAAATTTCAAGTTAATCGATCCAGCCATCTCCGAGAAATCTTCTGCACAAAAATTGTAAGAAGAAAAAGAATAATAATAATAATAATAAAAGTGAAAAAGAAACAATAGAATAATAGAAGTGTCTTCCGTTGGAGACGGAAGACCCTAATAAAATGATTGAGGGACCTTTATTTGAAAGGAATAGCGTATGTTTTAAATATTACCGGGATGAGAAAATGCATTTTTCTCCGGAATGGCGTTTTCCCGCCAAACACAGTTCGGGTCGCCAAGTTCTTCACCGTTAGTTTTACCGTCCCCGTCCGAGTCCTTCCGACACAACTCCTGCGTCCAAATCTAAAACGAGAGAATTTAATACATTCCTATACAGAATTTCCTGAACATAAAATAAAGAAATAAATCTTGTGTCTGTTAAAATTTTATTTGGTAAAAATCATCACTGATTCCTAAAAAAAATAGTCAGCTTAATTCTATTTTAATTTGCTATTGATACAATGATATATTTTATTTTTATCTCTATTGGTGTCTTTCTCAGTCTCTTTTGAAATTGACTACAGTAATTTTGTATGTAACAGGCAATCTACATAGAATTAAGATCAGAATATTTTTGTTGTTTCGATAAATACAGTATATGAACAATTTAAGCCAATAGGCAAAGTGCATCGTCTGTAAACGCGATTTCTGCAAATATTGTATTTACAAATATTTAATCACTGATCCAAAGCAAAAGACTTATATTTAACTCTCGAATAAAGTGGCATGCATTGCATATAAAACAGAAAGTATCAATTTTCTATCATGATGTTTTACGTACATAGATACGAGGGGCGTTCAATAAATAATGTCATTAGCAATTGTCAATAGCAATAAAATGTTTCACATTAAAAAATTCCTTTCAAAATGTGTCATTTAAAGAATTCTGTATTGAACCTTTAATTTTTATACGGATAGCAATGAAATACCGCAATATAGAACTTATGTAAGACGAAATGTCAAGGATTATTTTGTACCCGTAGAGTCGCAATACACAGCCATCTTCACGTGGTTTAAAGGTAGCGATTCGTTCTTATTAGTAACCTTTTTGCAATTTTAAATGGATTTCAAAATTCTCCCAGATATAAATAGAAATGATTTTTACATTTTTAGCTGTTTGTTATCTTTCATTGCATTTTATAAAATGTCAAAAATCTTCTTTGTGAAACATACATTCAAAACTTATGTAAATAATCAAACCAAAGAAGCGAATTTCTTTCCCTTCCGAGGAGTAAATAAAGTCAAACACTTTTCTATTTCCAAACATATCTGTAACTGTACTTGCAAAGTTTTATTGAAAAATTAAGAAAGAACTCGATCTTGTTTAATCATTAAAGTTCAATTTTCTTTCCCGCCTCAGCTTTATAAAGTGAAACACATACTACTTAATTTTTTAAAACCTTTATGAAAAAATATTCTTTTTCTTTTTATTCTTCATGAATAGATTATTCTTAATTAATTAAATTCAGATTTAAATTGTAATATTTTCATGCATTAATTTATTTTTTATTTTTTTTTTAAACGAATAGAAAGAAAAGGATAAACATCACGAGAGAGCCCTCCCTTAAGATTTCGAAATTTCACAAATTTTGTAGCTGACGAATTATCTCGTGGATCTTTGTCAATCATTAAATATTTGCCGTCTTTTTAAAATTTTGAATAAATATTGCAAAAGAAGGGAAAGTTTACCTTTTAGTTTAAAACATCATTGGTTTTACATATACTCTACCCCCCTATCAAGTGTATAATTACCATAAATTCTTTTCTTTAAAAGTCACAATTGTGCATTTTGTCAATTTTTTCCTACGGTTACGCTTATATCATTTCCCAGCTCCATTGCGACCTTGCAATCCGACTGAAAAAATAGTCAATGTTACGACATATGCTGGAAACGTAAGATTATTATGTGCATGCTTTTAATACATTAATACATTAACCTATGTAGTTATTTTAAGTTTGCATAATGATGTCAAAAGAAATTAATCTCCATTTTCTAATTTTTTTGTACTATTTAGGTACTATGATCAAATGTTGGCTGACTGAATAGTATCTATATCAAAAGAAATGTTACTTTCGATCCAAACCTTCCTCTGATATTTTTACTTTATCAGCCATCGCCCGATATTATTTTATAAACAAAACATAATTATATATTTTTGTGTGTTTATTGAAAACACTTATTGACATAACACATGTATAAGTAAAGAGTAAAAAAAAAGGACAAAGTTAACAAAAACAACCTAGATTTATAGGACTGTTTAACATGTTTAATTGATTATTAATAAAAACAAATAAACGCGATTTAAAAAAATAATAAATGCCTTACATTTCTCTTAACAGTTGTTAAACTCTATTGCAACTTCACATAAATCTTTTTTTTCTGTTTGTTTGCTTGTTTTTTCCTTTTTTTTGTATTTTTTATTTACCTTCCCCGCTGCATCAAAGTCCTCGCCAAAAGGATTTCTAGATCCGCCCCCTAACTCGTTCCTGTGACCCACTCCATGCCAGAGATAATTCGGCTTACAAGGGTGTGGTACGGAGTCTCCATTTGGGATTTTTGATTGGAAATATTTGTAACCAGATGAACTTGCTAAAAGCAAGCAAAGGCAAAGAAAAATCCTGTTAAGAAATAGTAAAAAGGTAAACAAAACATTTCCGACAGAAATGTAAATGAAAACAACAAGTGCTAACGAATACTTGGCATTTACTAAAACAAAAAAAGTTATTTATTTTATCATGTAAATGAGGTAGTTTTAATAACAATAATAAAAAAGACCGGCCGAAAATAGTTTATTTGCCACAATGCATTATATTGCGTCCCCGAAGAGGCGCAGTGGTAAGAGCGATTTGCTCTTAAACTAGTTCATCCATCCTTTTGAATCTACAAGAAGGCACGAATACCATTCTTTTTGATAATACCTTATAAACCGATATTTTATGTCCAATGTCGGAATGACAACGATATTGATTTTCGGTCCCCCAACATCAAGCGTCATCTCAATATGGGTGAAAAATTCTTAAGGACCGTTAAACAAAATAAACATTAATTTTTTGGTATGCTGTTTTGTCATATTTTTTCTTGCTCGTAGGGTAAATTAGAAGAAAAATGAGATGTATTTGTAATGCCTTTAAATTCGAATACTTTAGCAAAGCATTGCTTTAAGCTTAACTCTTTATGTCAAATAAATTCATGGTGTGAATTATGTAGCGATAAAATGGTAACATTTAAAGAAAATAATCCGGATTTTTTGTTAAAAAAATATTTTTCCTAAAATGAAAATAGTGTATTTTATGGTAATTTTTAACTGTTGTGATAATTGGTTAAAAGCTAGAACTCACCCTCTTGACATCCTGTTAAAAAGTGGGTTTAAATATCGCAAACCCGATTTTTATATGCAAATCGCTTCACGTGCTTTAATGACATTTAAGGAACCTCCCTCTCTCCAAACCTTAACAGTCACGATAGAATGTTTGTCATGATATTTATGAATAAGTACCTGCATGAATAAGATTATAACAGAAGATCCTTGTTTTTTTTTCTTTATATAATTTTTGTGTTTGTACTATGATGAAATATGCAGATATATAACGAATGGTAATCAGGTTCGAATATTCATTGAACAGTGCAAATCTGATAAGAACAAACGACAAATGTAGACTGACGTTTTAAATATCAATTTTAAGGCCATTATTTACCCACTGGATTTTCTTTTCCTTTTTTCAACACGAAAACGAAGCACAAGGCTGGAATGACCGGTTTTCAGGGGATGCTCACTCCTCTATGAGACCATATCCATTCTCTGGTGTATTTGAAGTATTTGGAGGTCTGTTTTTGCTCAACTTGCGATAAGTATTGTTAAAAGTCCTTTTAAGCTTGATTTGCGTTCTTTATTTCCATATTTTAATGACCAGGAAGAAAGAGAGATTTGTTGTTGAATTTCATATTAAACAATATAATAATTCCAAACACATAATTAAAACATGTTACACAAATTAAATCCATAGCTTTGTTTGCAAAATATGTCACTTGAATGAAAAATAAAATGTTCTTTACACAAAGTGCATTATATCATTGTTAATGTATATTTGTATGGTATGGACTTACCAAATTTATGAAAAATAGTTCTCAATTTTACAGTTGAAACATATGGCAATGAGAACAGTATTCAATATCAAAGGTCCATAAAACAATACAAAATAGGAGCATAGCAAACACAGACATCCAAAACACCAGAGGTGGGATCAGATGCCATGGACATTTATACAATAATCGTATAAAATGTTTTTAAAGGGAGTCAGGCTACTAACATATCTTCATCACCTGCCTACAGAGTTTACATGTCTCTGTTGTTCACATACACAGGAGCATGCTCTACGTATAAACAAATTCTACAAAGAGGTAAATTACTTACAAACAAGTTGATAAAACAGGAATTTCAGCAGGCTCGTTTAAAGTTATCATTTTATAAGTTCTATGGTCGATACAATGACTTTGTCAGCAAATGCAATTTATCATTGAGTCAAATGCTGACTGAAGTTTTTCATACTTATTGTTAGTTCATTATTTATACACTGAATTGACGAAGGATTTTTCTGTTATTTCCCGATCAAGACAAGGCGCACACGGCGAGTGTGACCATTCGGCAGGGCATACTCACTCCTTTACGGCATCTGATCCCACCTCTGATGTTTTTGAGGTCCCTGTTTGCTCTGCTCCTATTTTGTATTGTTTTATGGCCTTTTGATCTGGACTACTGTGCGTTATCTCTATATGTTTCATTACAAAAACGTATGCGTTTGTTCATCGTTCATTCTGCGTTCCACCAATGTTCGCTTATCGTTTGAGTTGGAAAAAAGAAAGTTTTGCAATCTAATTAAAACTACATGTCACATCCTCTCGTTTACTCGCTACACTGTATAATATCTAACAACATCCCATAGAGGGTCAAGTCAGAGGTCATTCGGTATATCTGTAGAATTATTCGCTTTAATAAATAACGATAATTTTGCACGCGACAATTTGATTGCTTGATAGAATTAGAACTCGGACGTGACCCTCTGTGGAATGTTGTTAGATGTTATTGTAGCGAGTATACGAGCATATCTAACATGTAATTTTAATTAGATTGGAAAGTTTCGGGAACTATAATTTTCTGTTTGGTCACATGAAATTATTATTACATACTTTCCAGTCAGTGTAAATTCATATTCTTTACTAGACCAGTGGAATATTTGCATTTACTTTTTTAGAAATCGAATTCAACTTTACTAATTTTCTGTTTTTTTTTTTTTTTTTTTTTTCATTGTTTTTTTGGCATTTTTAAGAAGTTTCATTATCATTGATATAACTCATAAAAAATTAAAAATATAAAAATAAAATCCGTGAATGGGCATGAACCACGAACACCGAAATGCCAGAGGTTTGGTATAATATGAAAAATTGAAAAACATGATAATAATCTTTGTATATAAAGATCTACAAGACCCTTCTAATCATTTACAGATTTTACATCTACGCAATGTGAATTTCAAAATGCCCAATATACTAGTACTGAATAAAAAGAAAATAGGGGTTAAAATCAAGTACAGTTTGTATTGCTTATTATGCAATGCTTGAACTTGATTTCAATCTAAAGGTTGGGTTTTGTGAAGTCAAATAGAACATCACATGCTATTTACTAAACTCGGCTCAGAAAAGAATTAAATAGAATATGCTTGAATTACAAATTTGTTTTTTAAGGATGGAAAGTCCAGAAGGACCCCTTCTAGATCAGATATGTTTTGATTTGTGAGCCATGTCAAGTGTACTGTAATGCCTCCTGATAGGAAAAGAATCAATGTCCTTGATATACTTTTCTAATAATACATGTAATTATCTGCTTGTATGTTTCCTACGGAAGCCGGTAGGTGCCATGCCAGGTAGAACAATTATCAGACGAATTTCTTGGGCCATCACTTATTAATGTTGCGTCCGCCAGATTAAATATTTCGAGAAACAATAATGAGAAATAACTCTTAATTGTTTAGCATTTCTCACAATGGTGAAGAGTTATTTATCTTTCGATATCAAGACGTAACAATTCATATTGATTTACATGGAAGATGTTTATCTCAGGTTTAAGTGTTACTGTACATATTAAATACACTATAGGTATCATGTTTAAACTATAAGAAATCAATTTCTATAAAAATTGCACCTCTAATTTTTTTTTTCAGTATTTACAAAGAAAGCACTAAAAATTATTAAAAAATATAATTTTTACATTTTTAATTATTCAATTCAATTCAATTAGAAACTAATAAGAACAGTATTCTTTGTAGATTTTCTAATAGGTCATCTTTCGTTATGATAACATTTTTGAAAGTACTCGTATTTAATCAAGATGGATTTTTTCAACACATCTACTTTGAATTTGGGGGCAATATTAAAAGCAAGATGATAATTAATATCCTTTATCCATCAGTTATGTCCAATATTGAATTCAACATATGTAACTTTTGGAGAGAAAAAAGTGCCATGACTAAGGAAGCGTTTAACTTATACAAAATACCAATTATAAGAGGTATGATTAGCTAGTTAACAAATGTTTTAAGAAATATTTTTAATAGACTTGTTTGAAATATCTCTATTCGGAATGATAACTTTCCTAGACAAACCAACATTCTCGCCAAAATAATTCGTTTACCCACCATCTAGTTCTTTTAATCTACCCTGAACCAGGAATAATTTCGGCTTACAAGGATGCAGTAGAGAATTTTCGTTTGTGAATTTTTATCAGAAATGATTTAAAACAAGTACATGGTTAAATGTAGCCCGGTTCTGTAAAAATAAAAAAAAAGCAACTAATTTGTTAGGAGGGAAAAAACGCCTGGTTTCAGGTATGCTAAAGAGGAGTAAGCATCTTCTGTCGAGCTGGCTCATCCGCTTTGAGCCCAAAATATTGATCAGGTGGGCGTAACATTTTGTAGTAAAATTTAGTATAAAACAGGGGCTCACAAATGGTATGGAACAAATCAGTCTAATACGACCCGATGCCATATTATTTGAACACAAAAATTATAAAAATATAGATAAGCTGTTGGTTCTGGTTGTTGATTTTAAATTTGTGACCCGATATCCTTGTATGATCGATATGAACCCGTTCACAAAAACTACATTCTGTTTTGTTACATTGTAACAACATAAAAAGAATTGCAATTCCGATCTCTCAAGTTTTGGATTAGAAGCTCTGTCCAGTAAGATTATTAGTACAAAAAAAAGTCAATTTTCAAAATGTCATCGATTTTTTGACAGTTTTCGCAGAACATATAGAAAAAAAGAAGACATGGGATAGGAAAAAAGGAATCTTCAATTTGTCTGTAATAGAATTTTTTTGTAAGAACAATTGGTTTAACTACCAGAACTGAGAATCTGAACTAGAATCATACTGCCCATGACATATGTTTGAAACCCCTGAGGATTATCCGCGAACCACAGAATACACTCTTTTGTGCTAAACTCACTCAAAAAAGCTATCTGTAAGTTATCTATAAAGAAAATCTTCCACAGAGAGAGAGAGAGAGAGAGAGAGAGAGAGAGAGAGAGAGAGAGAGATGTAATGAACGTTAAGTAGTAAGTTGGCAAATCTGAAAAATTCAAAGATATGGTGCATTGTTTTTTTCGTTCTCTTAGTATTTTATTTTAAGCAATAAACATTTATCTCTGGTCCCATGGCACCAGATCCCAAATCTACGGTTTAGAGGTCAGTATTTGCTCTGCTCTTTTGTATCGATAAATGGACTTTTAAGCTCAAATACTGTTTGTTTTCTTCATATATTTCATTCATTTCTGAGTAGTTAAAAAAAAGCAGCACAGGCAGTCCCCAAATATAAAAAGCGTCACTCTTTTGAGTGACGCAAAGGGATGCAGATTAGAAGAGTCCAATCGGTGTTCCTCAGGTGGTTATCTGGGTTATTATACAGAGTATTTCTTATCCATAGTCTTCAAACTCCCAGTCTTTCTAGAAAAAAACAACGTTAACGGTTCAAAAGAAATGAATAAATATCGTAGGCCTTTCAAGTTTGTCAAGTTGTACACTTGGTAAAAACATTTCAGATAGATTTATAGGTACATGAAATTATCAAAAAAGATAATAACTTATGCATACATTTAATTAAATCATTAAAAAGTTTTATTAATTATAAATGAATTGAACGATGTTGTGTTTTAAGGACAGGTAACTCAGGTGTGAAAAATGACCAACTAAGTGCCGATTTATGAGTTATCGGTTTTAGGAATGGCATATAGGCTTCTTCAGCATTCGTATTGTTTTGTAATTACACAATTTGAAGGGTTCCTTACATTGTTTTGTACACAAAAACGTTGACCAAAAGAAAGAGAATGTCTTCACTCTACCTGACATAACAGGGTCAAATGAATGGGGAACAGACTATATTCAATATTTTTAACTCCCTTTGACGATTGCTATGAGGAAGGAAATATAATGACATGTTTTTTTATGCGCACTTTTGCGCTTCCTAGATAAATATATATATTTTTACAAGCAAAAGCAACAATTACTTTTCTTATTTGTGTTACCTAGATAGCACGAAGAAGAACGACCGATTGATTGATTGATTGTATACTGTTTTACGTCCCTCTCCAGAATGTTTCACTGATATGGAGACGTCACCATTGCCGGTGAAGGGCTGCAAATTTAGGCCTATGCTCGGCACTTACGGCCTTTGAGCAGGGAGGGATCTTTATCGTGCCACACCTGCTGTGACACGGGGCCTCGGTTTATACGGTCTCATCCGAAGGACCGCCCCATCTAGTCGCCTTTTACGACAAGCAAGGGGGTACTGAGGACCTATTCCAACCCAGATTCCCACGGGGCAAGAACGACCGAGTATAAACATTTAATCAGGTTAGAACTAAGAAGGAGGGTAGATTTCACTTTTTATTTTAATTAAAAATTTTATTTATATCTAATTAAATATACTATATAACAACTATATAATAGGAAATAAGTTTAACATTATAGCTAAATTTTAAAAGCATGGATTCTACAGACAACAAAGAAACACTTGGGAAATGCTAAAAACTGACATGCGTATAAACAGTTAGATACCTCGGACCTGCTCTAAACAAGTTTCAGCAACGAGTTATCGTTCATAACAGCGAACCCTAGCGGCATTTGAAAGGCTTAAATATAGAATATATTTGAAAAAATCTTTATTATCCGATCCAAAGTCAACTATTTTTAATTGTTCGCCAAAACCTATTTACAAATAATCTTACTGGACGAAACTTCTGTACCAAAATAAATTTTTAAAAAACCCTGCAAATTTTCTATTTTTCTGATGTTAACTGTAAAATTTTCCAGGAAATAAAATGACTCTGGGCTTATTTATAGTAGTGAACTGATAAAAACTTTAACAAAAGGATATCGGGGCAGAGCTTTCAAATTATTTTAATTTCAAATAGGAATCGGAAGCCTGTCTACAAGGGATCTGCCTTATCAGTGATCGTTCTACTTGGTACATATCAGTTATACTTCCAAATATAACTTTGGGGAATTCCTCTGCGTGGTGATAAAAATAGCAACTGATGTTAAAAAGCTGCGCATGCGCAGAGGACACAAAAATTGTTCTTTTTAAAGAACAGATGCCTCATCTTTTCAATCACATTCTGTATTTTATGTAAGGATTGTATGTACATCACTTTTTATGAATATTGCATAATTGTTTGTGTTTGTGTGATCATTGTATAGTAAGTTTTGCTTGTTATTATTTGTGTTTCCGTATACATATGACTTTTTTATTATTCTGTCATGGTATGTTTTGCTTTGTCGCTTTTTTTGTGCATATACGTATGTTTTGTTTGATTATACTGTAATTTTTTTTGCAAATACTAGTAAATAACCTCTTCTATTCTTCTCCTGGCTGTTAGGTCCTGTCTTTAATAAGGAAGTTATTTTCATCAGGTGACCATAAAAGAGTTTTTAAAAGAAACGATCAAATTTGTATCCCCCACTTCATATCAACAACATGTTATATGTAAATTGTTTTCATGTATATTTCTAACACGATTTGCAAGCTGGAAAATAAGTGATAAAATGTGAACACGCTGGACGGTGGCACAGGTCAGTCACATCATCTCGGGTGTTTCCGTCAGAGTTCGAAAATACAACCTCAAATGCATTAACATCACCGGATATTAAACATTTATACATTTCCTGTTTATTCAAATATAGGATAGACGGAGTTAATTAGAAGTCCCTTCTGTAGTATATTTGAGGTAATATCATTGCATTGAATAAAGTTAAACTATCTATTCCACAGATAAAAGGTCTCTATACTTTTATTTCAAAGATCGTGAAAAGGGAGGTTGTCATCGCGTCTTTCTAATACATTCGAGGTCGTTTTTCCGCTAGTCGGAAAGGCCCAAGAAGTTGTGGCACAGGTGTATCGAAGCTGGAGCATTTAAAAAAAAAAACAAGATTGACAAGCGTCAAACGTATGCCATAAACTTATTATTCCTTTTACGAGAATTGGCAGCAATCTGAAATTTGTTTGATCATAATATGCCCAGCTGATGTAACAATTATGGCAAGCTAATATTAACATTAACTACAATATTTTTTTCCAAACCTACACATCGAGGTAGAAAAAGAAATGAAAAAAATCTTCCGAAAAATTTAAATAGAAAGCTTGATTTGTTGTTAAACTTGAAATATTCAAAAACAATAATGCTGATTATTTATCCAAGAGTATTATACATGTATTACGATCAAAAAACAAAAAAAAAAAACCCCAAAAAAAACGTCGTATGTCACGCTGATTATCAAACTTCAGGTTTGGTAAAACTGCTTTTCTATGAACTAACATATTTATGTAGATAAAATAGCAGCAAGAAAAAAATATCTATTTATGTTTTTAATTTCATAAAAATCGACAGATGTAGAACTGGAATGGCAAGGAATATATTTTTATTTTGCTTCTGTTTCTTGATCAGATTCCCATTAATAGTTATATGTATTTATAGTTTCTTTAATCTAATTATATATGCATGTACCACGTTTATTTATATATTATTTTCTAGGTTATAAACAAAGTACTTATGACGTAAGTTAAAATTAAAAATATGCAATACTCAGAGGCCAGGAAATACACACTTTAGGAGATGATGTTTGATTAAGACACGCATCCAAAGATACACAGAACCAAGCTGGAGAAACGTTTGTGAAACCCCCTGTTCTTGTTAGATTACCTTGAATGTAAGTAAATTTATAATCTCAACAAACGAGCATGTTTGTTCTTTATCTTTGTGAGTACAAGTTGAATTTTTTAGTAGCCATTGCTGTAAGAGAAAAATATTCCGGAGCTATAGTGTTTTCTTGTACATGTACACTGTAAAAAAAGCGCTTAGAAAATAAACACTTCCATTACGTGTTTTGACCTAAACATGTATAAGATTGTGTTTAACGGCTAAACACTTAGGTCTAAACGTGTGTTAGATTGTGTTTAACGGCTAAACACTTATGTCTAAACGTGTGTTATATCTAAATGATGTTAAGATTTAACACATGTTTAGATATAAATGTTTAGAAATTGAACACTTTTCTGTGAAGTACAGAGTTATCTTCCCGGAAATGACGCATATATATTCGAATGATAAATAGAGCGGTTATCGAAACAAAGGAAATCCCAATGTTAGCTAAAGAAGATGGATTAAAGGAAGTGAATGCTAATCAAAGTGATAACCATGAAGAGATTGTGAAATGCATTTAAACTGCAACATTACTGCGATAAAAGGTATGTTAACTATTATTTTTATTTTACATAAATTGACCAAGATGGGCTACGTAAATAGACATGCGTTTGCACATGTAGTTGTAGATCAAGATTACCTTTGGTTATATATTGCATTTTTGAAATCTAGAAAGGAGTACATTATATATTAGAATATCAATAATATCTATAACAGTATCAATATTAAATAGTGGTTATATAGACGAGGTTCAATGAAAGTAAACCAATAATAGCTATCAAACATGTAAACAAAAAAGGTTATACAAATCCAGCCAGTGAGGAGCATATTCTGATAAATTTTGAATTTCTTTCTTACAGGATATGGTCCACATCGAACTTGAAAGCAGAAATACACGTATCAGAGAAACTGACTCTCCAAGTCCACACTTCTTACTTTCTAGGGGAAACTGAGTTTTGTGAAGTCTGCTGTTCGTTATAGCTTTGAACAACCTAAAATATTCTCAAATAATAACAAGTGGATTACCTACTGACGGTCACAGATGAAAACAAATTATGCGTGTGTTGCTCAGTGAAAAATTGCTGGAAGTTAAACTTGATACAGACATGAGGAATAACTGCTTGCTAATCTGGTTAGAATTAAAACCAGCGTGTAAAAATATAATGTATATTTAATTTAAAATTCTTTATAAATAATCCATGCTTGAATGTTCATTGAATAAAATTTAAAATGTAAACAATTGTTATTTTTTCAGTTTTCTTGCAGGAAGACAACGAAAACATCCAAGTGTTTAGTTTGTAAACATGTATCATAACATGTTTTGTAAAGTGTTTAAAGTCTAAACATGTAAGTGTTTTGGCTCTAAACACTTTCCGTTACACGTAATGAAATTCAATGTGTTTAGAATTTCAACGCATCCCAAAAAGTGTGACAAGAAAGTGCTTAGGAAAGTGTCTATCATCTAAACACATTTTTTACAGTGTATCTGTGGTACAGTTTTTGTTGTTTTAAAGATGACTGTTGAAATCAAGCTTTAAATTTTACTGAAAGAGTACCTTTAAGAAAAAAAAGGGGGGGGGTTAACCTTTTGAAAAAGTAAAAGAAATAGTCAGGAAATAAAAAAATGACAATATATGATTTATAAAAATCAATTTTAGGATTAATATTAGAATTAAAATTTCAAATAGGCGTCTGGTTAGATTTTATTCCTGAATAATTTCAAAGTTTGCAAAATATTAAGTTCATCTGTTTATGGGAGTTTTTCCTTGAACGCGATAGCGTCAACATATCAAGACAATTAATACTTTTCAATAATTGGAATATACAAGACCTACTGTAAGTGGTTATATGGGTGCCATCTGTTTTTTTTAATTTCTTACTTACTAAGGAAATCTGAAAACGATCAGCCTTGTATAGTGAAAATGTATCGTAAATGGGTATCATTTTTAGTGCTTTAGTAAGAATCTCTATGCAGTGACATAACTGAAATTTGCATGTTCATGAACGGTTACGTGTATCAGCAATTTAATTTAAACAATATTTTATTCACAGATCTTAAGGTGAATAGGATTGGGCAGCAAGCTCAGCCTATTATAGCCCTCCCCCGACATCAAGGCACACTGTACAAAATAAATAATGTACTAGAATTGAACAAAGTAACAGAAAAGTGAAGCGATTCACAGAAAAAATGATGGTAATAAATGAATGTACAAAAGAGAAAAATGTATCGGTAATAGTCGAATAAGGTTGGTCGCTTGAGTCTCAATTATCTGTTTGCTCAACTAAAATTAGTTTTACGTCAGTGAATAACACCGTAGTCACTGCTACTCACAATTCTTTTTTGCTCTACTAAAAAGTATTTTTACTCTGGTAAAAAATATTTCCTTTCTCAGGTAAGAATTTGAGTAGAACGGTCAACCATAGTAAAATGTAGTGTAGCGTCCAACTCTCAAATATTTCATCAGACTGGAAAAGAAAATCCGGAAAAAAAAGCTTTGCCAATATATTCCTGTTACACAGCAGAGTTTACATATGCATGTTTATGCAGTCCCTAATATAAACACTAACTAAGACCAATCTTCGATTTTTTATAGGCAAACATTATTTAATTTTTTCGCTATCTGAATTTACCTAAGTCACACTATAAAGAGAAATAACTCTTATTTCTTTGCATTTTTTATATCTTTCACTATCGCGAAGAGTTGTTTTTCTTTCGAAATCAAGACGTAACAATGCATATTTATCCGACTTTCTACTGTTAATAGATATACTGTTCTACTGTTATTAGCCATTAAATTATCATTCATAGGATGTTAAAACTGCATTAATTTGAAATTAATATCGACAAAATTGCGCCTTTAAATAGCTTCAATAATTTACAAAGAAAATCTAGAACCATCACGATTTATTAGAAACTTGATATTCATCACTTATACTAAGCCCCGATACAGATTCTTTAAAATTAATAAAACAATGGGTGTAAGATGAACAGTTCAAGAAATTCCAGACTGTTTATATAAACAGTGTAATAATAAAACACCATCAGGTGGTATTGTTGGCAATAATCCACAAGGGCAGGTTATTTTGTGGAATAAGTCCTGTAAATCTCACGATACTTCAATGATAAATTCACAAGAAAAATTATATATATATTGGACTAAGGTGTCATTCAATCTAAAGAAGTGTTGAAAAGTACATGAAAATCAAAGATGTAACTATTGTCAGTCATATACATGTAAGAACTCAAGGTCAAATATTATTGATTGTGATCAGATTCATGAACTTTATTTGTTTTTATATAGTAGTCTTAATCATGGACTAGGTATTAATTTTCAAATATTTGAGGCAAAACATGCTTACATCGCGGCAACCAAGCATTTTATTTGACACTGTCCTGTATGTTTCATCTGCAATCATTTCCTATCCGGTGCTAAGTTGTAATTTTTCTATTACTTTTTTATGTTTCTCTTTCAACTATATTTCTTTATTTAATATTATACCTATATAGAGTGTATGTTTACCTTGAATTGACCTTGAAGGGAAATGACTAAAAGGCTTTCCTGCTGCCTTTTCCCATTTACTTTTGTTTGCAAATAAAATTTCGTATTCAAAAAAGGTAAGGTTTCCTCGACATCAAATTGCTACATCTGTGGTGGTATGAACTTTATAAAAAAAATGATTTGATAAATAAATCAACCAATAAATTATTAAATAATCGTAGATGATGTTGACAGCTTAAACACTGTCAAGGGCCGTAGTAAAAAAAATCAAATCAAATTATTTTGGGGTTTAAAATATTCATATTTCTGTTATTAAATTCACAGAATTTATATCAACTTCAAAACGAAAAAAATCCTGAAAAAATTACGTATGTTTGTTTTAAGAGTTTATGACGCTGTCTGTCCTCCTTAAAATATAACTATCTTCATTATTATCTGTTTCCTCCTCTTTTCATTTTGTACAATACATGTACATCGTATTGTTTATTTATATATATATATATATTTTACATCTGACTAGTTTGTTTGAAGCGTATCTATGATATTAATGTACCCCATGTACATGCAGTGTACCAGCATTTTGGTTTGGGAGATAATGCTGAACTTTAACTTGAATTGTTCTTCATTTATTTATTTATTTTATTGGGGTGGGTGGGGGAGACAAAGTAATTAATAGGTTTGTATTTAAAATCTTGAAGGTAGTTTGGAATAATTAATTACCGGTATATTTTTAAAATTAAATTCAAATGCAATTGCAAGTAATTAACAAAATAATCAATGTGCTTGAAATTATTTCAGTGCATGCTAATGTTATTTATGCTAACTCTGAAATTAATTTCAATCAAATCTATAATTTTTCCTGGAATCTAGGATATTTGACCATCAGAATCTCACGAGAATACATGTTTGTGATTTCACGGAATCTGTTTAGTCAGGCATTTTTATGATTTTATTACATTTCTTTGAGAGAGCTACGGGATTTTTTTTTAATTGAATAAACCTTTTAATTTTTTTATATCTTATGATTCTGCATAAAAATTTCGTAGATCTTTAGGTTTTAAACTGTTCAAAAAATTTAAAATCGATGTTTAAAAGAACAAAACATTGAAATACAAAACAAATTAATCTACGTACAAAATAACGAGCGCTATTTAAGTCTTTTTTTTTTGGTCTGATAGGGTTACTTAAATTGTATGATTCTATTTATACATGTATTACGTTCGTTAAAATGACCCTTCTGAGCTTGATAAGAGTTAAATATTTATTTAAAAATTGGTGGAAGCTGAATATGAATTATTATATACAATGATGATTAGTTTTGTGACATTGTATATGATTTTACAAAGATAAAGATGCCTAAAATATCTTGTATGGCTTTTTGTAAAGAGAGACAAATAGACAATCCTTAGCCCATTAGTTAATCCTTTTTGACTATAAATAGCAGTAGGGAAATACCACATGTATCGATCTCTTGTTTGGAAGGTTTTAAAATCTAAAATCTGGTTTTAGTCTTTTTAGACTCTGCTAAGCTTTGAAGAGAATAAAGATATAGTTGTTTGACATTTACTAAAAACTGTTTTCATACACAGGGAAAGTTCAAAAAGAAGTAACCCCGGCAAACCGACAATTAGTAGTGAGGTGGTGTTGCTAGTCAGTCTTTATATTACTATATCAATTATCTTTGAATGATATGTACAACCAAAACTTGTTTTGACTCCAATAAATTATTATGTTGTTTATAAAAAAGATTTTTCTTTTCACCATATTGATATCTCACAACCCAGAGTTTCAATACGTTTTATCAATTCGCTGACAATCGTTCATGCATCAAGGAAGAAAAATGAGACGGAAACCCCGCAAACGACTAAAATAGAAAAGCACACCCATTTACATTCATTACAAATATTTCATCATAATACATACGAATTTAATGCTTGCATTGGCCGTCCATAATCTCTAAGAAATTTGATATTTTTAACAAAAAGAAAGAGAAGAGGTACGTACTTTTTTTCATATATGTTGCAGATTTAAACATGCTATATGTGTATCCATTTAAATCCGCATGTTTTTTAAGCCATTCTTTTAAAAGTGTTATCTGAATTAGAACAGAACTAGAGCTGTGTATTGAACAAAAAAAATTCGATACGATGCGATATTTCTAAAGCGATATATTGGTTTCTTTAAAAGTCTTTAGAAAAGTTTAATGCTTGAATTTAAAAAAAATTGTTTTAAAACGTTTCGTAGTACTTGTCTCACTGTAATAACAAATTACACTTTATAGGCGTCGGAACCGGAAAAAAGGGGCGGAGGGTAGGGGGCCCACGTTTTTTGCAAATATATACATTATATAGACATTGAAAAATGGGGTTTACCTTTTTTGATTTAGCCCCCCACTTTGGATAAGCCACCGCCCCACTTTCAATTTGCTTCCAACGCGTATGCACTTCAAATTCAAACTTTTTTATTACTGTGAAAACAACATGCATGTCAAATAACGATGTGTATGCGTTTTATAATATTAATTTAAGATATGCTATCTCCTTAATGATTACATGTATATCAATATTGATCAATCTTAATTCAAAACATTAAATATTGTAACCTTTCCTAATTGAAATTCCTCACTTTTTCCACAGAAATAGTAGCCAATCTGTCTGTTCGATATGTATGGGGTTTTTTTTTTTCGATGCGATACATGTACATTTTTAATAGCGACACATATCGACTATTCGATATATTAATACAGCCCTAAACAGAACTCAACCAATCACATGAATGAATAAAAACAAACTCCTCCTACAATTGTGAAATTCTATTGTATATATACTTCATGCCTGAATTAGCCGATCATAGTACATGACTGTGCATATCCCAGGTAACACAACAACGTTATTAAAACGTTATAAAAACGTTTTCAAAATGTTATAAAAACATTTTCTAAAACGTTATTACAACGTTATTTTGTATGGTTTTTTAAACGTTATCATAACGTTTTTCAGAAACATTGTCCTGC